CTGACCTCGAAACGATTTTATGTGCGCGGCGCTCGAAAATCTGTCAAATGTTTCAGTACGACTTTGCTGAGCTACGAAGCCACAGCGCTTGATGGATTGTCGGAGCGTTACGGCTATCGTAGGCGGAGCCTCGCGGAGTGATACGTACTGTGCTTCAACAAAATGTTACCGTATTGTGTGTGTATAACCTCTTTTTAAGTGTTGTGGATGTTGTACATGGTTATGCTGAGGACATGTCGGCCAGTTTCCACTGGAAATGCCTTTTGGTTAAACTGTCAGCGAGGAATTTGCATTTGCACTGTTACATTTTATATAACTTTAATGCAAAAAACAGCTGCTTGTTTAAGTGAAAATACATTGTTGGGTTTTTTTCCACGAATAAAGTTGTGGAGTTGTAAAGTATTTTGTCTCGTGTCAATTATATCGTCAGTTATATCGTTATCGCAAGTTTTCAAACGTATATCGTGATAAATATTTTCGGTTATATCGCCCTGCTCTACTCTTAATGTTTTGTTTTTTTTGTCACGAGTTGGATCATGTTTAAACTTATGGGCCTGGCACAGAGGCTTTCTTCTTCTCCCGTGTTTTTTCTTTATTGCAGCTGTTTGAGGTTTCCGGGCAGAGACGACGAGTTTGCCGTGTGGGCTGCTCGTTGTCGTACTTGCTTTCAGATCCACAACGGGAGGGAAATGATAGTCATTCTGACCCCCACGTTTGTAATTAGTGCTTGGGAAACAGTGAATTTAAATATTGTCACGTCACAGCCTTAATTTAAATGGTTTGGAAACATCGCGTCCTTCTGTTTCTCTCCCACCCCCCCTTTTCCCCTCCCGTCCTCTAAACCTGTTGAAATCAATGAGTTGTGTGCAGTGTGCTCAGGGGCCACACTGGGGCCTCCGTCCCCTACCGGTGCAAAGCAGCCTTTGATGTCGTTCCTTCTTTAGCTCCATGTGGGCAGACCAGGCTTCGGGGTCGGCTGGGAAAGAAAACCCAAACTGGGACTTTACCATGTTTCTACTCCACATTTTTATTAATGTTGGTCTTAGTAGAATCTGAACCGATCATGCTGTTAGAGGAAGTCTTCTGCTTCAATCATTTTGGACTTGATCAGGCAACAGCGAGGCTCCTTTTCACAAAAGAAAGGGTGCAGTACATGACAATGAACAATGAATTAGTGCACAGTTGTTATTAGATGATGGCTCCAAAGCCTTGAAGGCTTAGGTCCTGTCTGGCCCCGGGGCCAGCTGTGAACCAGCACATCACTACTGCACATAATTACAGCTCAGTATATGAACTGTGGCCTAATCCTGTCGGACAGCTGAAATTAAAGCCAGGTACAACCCTCTGGCTTCCCAGCATCCCCTGCGATAAACCATCTCCCCCGCTGAGAAGAATCAGCTTCCTGCGAGCAAACATGAAAGCATTTCCAGAACTTTCTCCAGATCATGAGCACAAAGCATTTCACAAACTTGAGACCACAAATAGAAGGTGAAAGATGGCGCTGATCATCGTGATTAATCTCCGAAAAAACCTGGGTTTTAAATAAAAAGCGGCCTCGTACGGAGCATGTTTCATTGATCATTTCATTCTTTTTTTGCTGTATACGAGTAAACTACACGTTTTATTTCAACGTGCCAGCAAGAGGAACAGAATGTACAACAATGTTATGACCTGTATGGACAGAAATGAGTTCTGTAACATGTAAAATCATGCTTTTTGCAACTAATTCTTTTTCAGAGTGACTCACAAGATCCTTCGTGTGCACGGGGTAGCTGTTGTATATATTCTCAAACTGTCATGAAGTAGTGTATTGATTTGGTGAGCCCAGAGGTTTGGTTTGGATGTGGAGGAGGGAGAGATCTTTAAAGTAGATACTTTAGTAAAGCCAGAAGAGCTGCTAGCACATCAGAACAGTAATGTGTAATTTACGTAATCTGATGCATTAAGAATGGGTGCAGCCTTATTAAGGAATTATGTGGTAGAATTTCAGATAATTATAGGCCGTTTACGGTCTGTGTAAGGGCGGCTGCTGACAGCCTCCTTTGGCCACTTGATATCACACTTTCACACAGATCTTGACTCAGCTGGATAAATAACCTCTTCATTTGAATCAAGCACTGAGAGTATGACCATCCTAATGAGGACTCTGGTTCAAGGAGTTCAAGGTAAATTCTGACTTTTTAAAAAAATGGCCACATACCTGTGTGTAGGCAGAAGATGCTTAAAGTGCCGAGTACGCTTGGTGCAGTCTGTTTTGGTAATGAACAGCGGTGTGTGCTGGGGGTGATTTGGGAGCTGACTTAATGACTTACAGGTAGGTTAACCAATTTTGTCCATGTATACAGTCTCTCAGGCTGTCATGGACGGAAAGGTTGGGTACACCCCCGCACAGGTTGGCAGTCTACTGCAGGGCTAAGGTGTACTGACAGACGAGCGTTCACTCCTGTGGCCAGTTTAGGAGCAAACAGTCCTCTTAGTATGCCTGTCTTTGGACTGTGGGAGGAAGCCAGACAATGAACTGGCACTGACACACACACAGGGAGAACACGTGGGCAGCGGATTGATCCAAATACTACTGATCAGGGATGGGTACCGGTATCCAGGTGCCATTATAATTTACGCTGAGTAGGCTAACCACGTTATTACATTAATGAATATAAGGTGAACTAGCAAACACCATCGTAGCTACATGCGGCTGTCTTCTTGTTTGATGGTAGATACTCCCTTCACCCTGGCTAAAATGACCAAAGAAAAAGTGGAAAACAGCTGAACATGAGAGGTTTTTGGACAAAGTTTGTGTTTTTTCCATTGTTTAAGCACTGCTTCCAGCCAA